GACAGACAGTCAAGGTGCCATTAATACAATAAATAAAGCACCACAAAAGGACCGGACCAAGAAACAGAAACTAGAGAGTCCTAACAGGATACTAATCGATACAATCAGAGAAATTATCACAACACAGCACATCAAAATCCAGTGGACAAAAATAAAAGGTCACTCAGGAAACAAAGGAAATGAACAAGCGGACAAACTAGTGACCACCACACTCACAGCAGCTTTAAGGACATCATAAAAATCCAAGAACTACAGATCATAAGCAGCAACACAATTTTAAGATGGGACTAGTCCTTTGTGGACCTCTCCTTTAAAACAACAGGCAAGACCCTCCTAAAGACAAAATAGGCCAGTAAATGGAGGACCCTACAATGAAACCAAATATGGCTAATGAGATAAAAAAGCAAGGAGATAAACTGGGAACTTACTATGCAAACCCTGATGCCATCTAAAATCTCCTCCCTCCAGACTAGCCTAGAAGACCACAGGGATAGAACCTTCTGATAGAAAACATGGTTCAACGAACATTCCACAATAGCAAACATAAACATACGCAGATCATGGATATATAAGTCAGCAAAATGTATAATCTGTAGAAAACAGGAAGAAAGAGATCTACATCCATTCACTTATGGACCCAACAAAACAAGGCTAATTGAGAAACTCGCAAAACTCCTGACACAAGAATGTGCATCAAGAGTCAATAGCAATATACAGTCACAATTTATTCAAAGCAGGTGAGAACACTTTCTCAAACTAGACAAAAGGAAAGAAAGTCAGGAGACAGTAGAACCAATGGACGTAATCAGAGGGGTCATCACACACAGGATGATCCAGGTAGCAGAAGAAATCACAGGAGACGAAAAGGAAGTCAAAGCTGCAGTAAAAAAGGGGACAGTGCAACTCTGGCAAGAGAAAAGAAGTATTTGAAGGCTAAGATGTGACTTGGTTCTAGAATAGGAAAATACACAGAAAATATCTAAGAAAATGAAATGAGAAAGAACAGGAAACAACACCAAAACACCCAGAAAAGAAGCCTTATAGAATGAAGGAAACAAAACAGATGTCAGCAGAAACTTGTATATAGAACTAACAAACTATAGCATGAGAGACATACTACAAAACAGTTTCAGCATTAATTCTTTCTTTCATATAAATATCAGTGTTAGTGAAGTCATGACACTCTAACATTTACCAAAATAGTGAACTGCAGCAAGTCACAGAGTTCATGAGATACTGAGTCATTAGTTTGTTCCTAACATAAATATATTTTCTCACAATTCAATTTGTGTACATAAGAGAGTATTAATGTTTAAATAAAAACTATATGGCATGACTTCGCTAGCTTTAAAAAAAAAAAAAATTATTGATATATCCATTCAATACTTTTTCAAAAACAAAATTTTCTTATAAGGAAATTTTTACAAAAAGTAAACAACAAAGTGGAGTTTTATATAAACCAATATTATGACAAACATTTTTATAAAGATTAGTCTTCCCTATGGCACTGTTTTCAAATACTCAGAACCTACTAAACAGTTATCTCAAGTCAAGGAGCTCTTTACTAAATGGATAGGAAGGGCCTGTTCTGTTTGTTTCAGTAACTCTAAATGAACTGTTATCTTCACCCAGCAAGTAAGTACTAGCTTTTCTAAAAAGAAGAGAAAATGAAAACCATGAATAAATTAGTTTCAAGGGGGAAAAAAGTCAGGTTTACTGTATCTACTCATAAATAATCGAAAGTTAAACAACCTCTGCCTCCAAAGGCGTGCAAGTGTACAGTCTGTGGAAAAGACTTCATCAACCACTCAACAAGAAAGAGACACTTCAATAGTATACACAAACCAGTAACTATGGAAGTTGAGACATCAAAAACTTCAAAAAAGAAGTGAAAGATCACCCATCTCACTACTGCGGACAACACAACAAAGCTCATCAGTGCTGATATTGATAATATCGATATGGATTCAGTTATTGGTGCAATCAGATTATTAGGACAAGATAAACCAGGTAATTATCTGTTCTATCCTAACATTAGATCAATATCAGGTAGCTCTTTTTTAGTAATGAACTATAATCCTGTCGACAACTTCTTTAGTTTAGTTATAAGGAGATATGCAATACATAGAATCTTATCTACCAGTCAGAAAGATGATCTCCTTAGAGATTGAACAAATGAGGGAATTCTTGATAACGAATTGTACTTCAAATACAAAAGTATCTTAAAAAATATTCTTATCTAGATAACACTAATGTAAAAAAGTAAACTGTATACTGTTCATATGTCTATCAACATATACTTGTTGGGCTTTTGCAAGTCAAGTAATCAGAAGACCTTGGTGGAAGAAGAAATTCATTAGCACCATACCGAAGTATCTAAAATCTTGAATACAAGTTAGAGTATACAATGGTCTGATAACCAAATTACTTTTAAAAATTGTTTTGAGAAAAATTAAAATAGTATCATATGTTCTTCCTTATTGATTGTTATATATAGTAATTATATGATTTGATAGTTATTATTATACTAAAAATAGTTCAGCCATAATTATATAATTAGTTTATGTAACAATACTACAATAAGTAACATATTATTTGTATTAGTGTATAAGTTTAGTTGTTGCTTATCATTATATAATATATTTAATAAAGAATATGGCTCAAAAACACTGAACAACAAACTAAAAAAAATAGAAAGTGAATAGACTTCTAAGAACAGAAACTATATCACAAGGTGGGCTCTAATAAAAGATCTCTTAAAAATAATAAAGAAACATATAACAGCAGAAAATCAAAAAGAAATTCTCAAAAATATCATAGATAAATTCTTGACTATTCTTTAGGACAAATGGCAACTGAGGTGTCAGCTCTTTTTACAATAGGAAACGAACCAAAATATAATCAAAAAAGATAAAAAAAATGAAAAACACTAGATAGAAGAACCACTATGCACAAATCATATATTTCAGAAATCAATGAAATTATGAAACACTCCAGTCAACACTGGATCAACTGGAATACAATATACTATTTCAAAACAAATTTTTATGGGATAGGTAGAGCCTTGGCAGATTAATCAAGTATATACTGTACTTGACAGTAAGCCACATGATAGGACTATCCTTAGTGAGTTTAATTAGGTAACTAGAGAGTTAAATTTGTATAAAATAAATTTGTACATACTCATAACAATATCTAATAAACAAAATATAAACCACTCAGTTAAAAAAAATATTTATAAAAATTTTTTTTTTGATCTTTCACGTCTGAATAAAACTACCATATAAGGAAACTCAAAAAATAAAGAAAAAATTTCTTTGCTTGAAGGAAAAACAAAGGACTTTGGAGGAGCTCCTGCCTCCAAAGGTCACGCATCCAATGCTGAACATATTTTTTTGGATATTTTGATTATAAACATAGACCTTCTCCAAGTTATTATTATCTACAAAAATACAAAAACCAATAAAATTTTCACCACCCTATCCACTCAATCCACTCGTCTTCCTAAATTTGGTAATTGTCCAAAAGTTTAGCTAACTCCAATCCGCTCCCCTAAAAATGTGGAAGAAGAAACTCAAGTAATCATTGTTACTTTTGAAGACTACCAAAGAACAAGACTCTCTACCCAGCTTACAATTCTAACCCTCTCCATCCCTGAGAAAATGATGATCGCTGACCTAAACACCTTTTTAGAATTTCAATATATATTCCACTTAACTGATGATGACAGAACAGATATCATGAAAGAAAGATGAAACAAAAATTAAACTATAGCCTTTATATTCCTTGGGACAAGCTTGAAATCCTTACTGACGAAAAACAAAAAACTTTCACCCTGAACAGAAAAATCAAAACTTCCTTACCCCCTTCTAACACTTCTGCACCTATTGAGGAAAGGATCGATCACGATATGATGATCAATAACAATATCATGCAGCTTGATTCTTCTCCAGCGATAATCCCTGCCTCCACCCCTGAACGTGTATCACCGTTAGACAACACAAACCCGGGTGATTATAAAACAACTAACGTAAGCCATATTTCGTCATCGCACGAGGCCCAACCAGACTTTGAAATGGAAATTGATGACCACCTATCATTGACCCAATTACAAAAAGAAGACTTAATAGACACTCAATCATGGGCAGATGATATTGAAACCATACCAGCCACACTATCCACTAATAATCTATCCAATGATATTCGTTTAACATCACCAGAAGATGAACAGCCAAAGATCCTTGATTTTTGCAATGAAATTACCTTATGTGATCAATCCCCAGAAGCCATTGTCAATTTTTTCTTAAAATTCAGAGACAAACCTAGAGGTTACCCGAGGTCTTCCCTAAAGGTCATCTTTTCAAAAATAGGTCACAGAGACTGAGACTTTTTCAGAATATTCACTAAAGAAGAGTTGATTAAAGGACAGCACCAAGTAAAATATGAAAAAATTGAGGGTGAATTCAAAGTCAATTACCTTAATGCCAACAATATTAGTTATATTATCAAAACGACCAGGAAAAAAATTAGAGTTATCACCAACAAAGCTCTTTTTGCAGCCTACCTCAGGTTCCTTTAACCTCACAAAACTTAGCTACTGGCAAGCTGCTCAACTACTCAAATAAGGCTTTAATTTCTTTTTTGATCCTTCCCTCCCAAAAATAAATTATCAGGACCTTTATAATAAATGCAAAGAACTTATCAAGATGAAACTACCTGATCTCCCAGCCTCACCCGATTTAATCCCCGCCTCTATCAAAATCAAGCTTCCTAAAGCCATTCCCATCACTTCACCCAAACATACAAGAGAAATTGCACAGTGCCTTAGAGCGTACTATAATTTTAATCTGCTTTCCCCTTCATATTTTGTTAAAAGGCCCATTCTTCCAGAAAACCCATCTCATTTGAAAGTTGAAGTACAAGGCATTTTCCCTCTGACAAAGAGAGCAGATCTTAGAAACCTCCAAACACTAGTCGACAAACTAATAGAGTACTATTATATGCCAAATAAGCTTCCCGAATTATACTTCTGCCCTATACCTCCAAAGGAACTGTTCCCTCCATCCTATAAAGACCTTCCAAAAAACCTGATTGGCTACTTCCCAGTAAGCAACAATGTTGATAACATCAAAGAAGCTGTGCAAATTTTGAGAAATGAATCCTATGCTATAAAAAAACTACCGGCAGACTATATCATGATCAAAAGATCTCTCTCACCAGTACACTGGTACAGCGAAAATTATGGAATTATCCTCCCTATTAACAATCAAGACAAGATCAAAGGTTTTATTAGGCAATTAAAAACTGAATTCTTTTTCAAACTTCCAATTGGACCTGAGTATATCAAGAAAGGTTTAATCCAGAGTGAAAAGCCTCACATTATAAGTAACTTTTCTCAAGTAGAAGAAAAGCTCGAAATACCAGCGACAAGTTGAATAGAGAACACCCTGAATTCACTGTAACTATCAAAATAATTAAAGAGAAATACTTTGGTTGTATCCCAAAACAATAAATAATACTGATCCTACCAGACCTTCCCAATCTCGAGGAAGCTCAAACTATCCTCAGATCTGAAAGCAGTACAATAACCCTCCCAATAATTGAAGATGGGTTACTCACGAACAAACTTAATACCCTTAGGAAAATATTTCACCTCAAGAAACTATCACCAGAATTTCTAATTGAACCTGAGTCACCTGACCCAGTTCTGACTCTCTTATCAAAACTTATATAAATAATGCATACAACTATTAACCCAAGTCATTTGTTGTTAACTAGCACATCAACTATCACTTCCTTGTCTTCCATACCTATTAAATCAATCCATTCTCAAACAAACTCTATTATAATGCCTCTTAAAAATCTCATTATATTATCTACCCTCAACGTCAGAGGTCTCAACGGCCATGCAAAAGTATCAGAACTTACCAAGTCTATTACAAGTGATATATATATCCTTTGCTGCTCAGAGACAAAAATCACAAAATCAAAACCACTTCCTACATCTCTAAACAATATCACAATCATTACCAACTTACCCAAGGATTCTGTCAGCAATGGAGCAGCCATTCTTCTGACTAAAGCTATTACTAATCATGTCTTTAAAACCTTTGCCCTTAACGAGTTCTGGTGCGCAATCCACCTCAAATTCAAATCCAGAGTAAACATTATATTTATCTCATGTTATTTTCTCCATGAACACGACCTCAGGAAAATAGCAGTTAAAACCCTAAAGGACTTTATCGGAGAGCACTCTAATAAACACATCATTCTTGCAGGAGACTTTAATATGTACCCCTCCTCTGCCCTCCACATACATGCTCACACAACAGCTCACAAGAGACATATATATCGGTATCTCCAAAAATTCATTGACATTGGTAAAATAACAAACAATGAGCATAGGTACACACACATCACAAACAATAGCGCTTCTAGAATTGATTAAGTATGGATTACCAGTAATCTGGAAAGCAAAATACTTTCATATAAAGTTCAGGAACAAATGGCCATATTCTCCGATCATAAACAAGTGACTATTATATTGGATTGATTTGAATATAAACCTAACAGAATATGCTTCAATACCAATATTTATCAATTCAAGGATGCTACTCCAGAAAACATAAAAGAATTCAAAGAGAATATTGAACTCACATGCCTAACAAGCAACACTCCAACCTGGGACTTTATGAATAACGTCATCAAAAACTCTCTTGACAATTTCATTCCAAAGCGAAAGTGCATGACACCCACCCGTAACATAGACTCTCTCAAACATTACTCCAGTACCATAAGAGCCACCAAGAGAGCAATAAATTCATCAAAAAACAATAATAGTGAAGATGTCTTCTCAAGACTTCCAGCTATCGCCTAATCAGCTTTACGAAAAATTACCAGTAATCATCCCTGCATCAAAGATCTTCAAAAACTGCTGAAAACTTTAATCAAGGAAAAATTATTTAAATTAAATGATATTATTCTCCAAGAAGTACAAAAGGATATAGAATTGAATTATCATAGATTTTGGACCTGGCATAAAAACGCTCTTAAAAAAGCATTAGGAGATCTGAGACTCTCTCTCGATCTTTCAATCCTCCTAGGAAAAGACAACCAACTCCATGATGACTTTGACAGGCTTGCAACTATCATATTCGATCACTTCAAAAAATCCTAGACCCCAAATTATTTGTTATTAATAATGAATGGTTAGCAGATTATGAACCACTGAACTACATCCTTGACAATGCCTATGATAATCTTGTTTCAACATTATCTATGCAGGATCTGGAAGAAGCACTCACTGACCTTCCCAAACATAAAGCCCCTGGACTAACTCTTATTCCTTATAAAGCTTGGATCCAAATAAGTTCACATACAAAAAAAATTATCTTAGCTCTATTCAACGACATTCTAATATCAGGTCAAATTCCTAAATTCTGGAAACAATCAGTTGTTACAGTATTACCCAAAAAACTTGTCTGGTCACACGATCTCACTGACACATGCTCGATCTCGTTTATTGAAACAAGCAGGAAAATTTTCACAAAAATCACTAATGACAGACTTACTAATTGTATTCTAAGGCATAATACTTTTTCAGAATTCAATTTCGCCAGCCTCAAAAACTAAAGTACCACTGAGCCAATTGCAATTATTAGCTCATGCATCAATACCGCTAATAATCTCAACAAGAAAATATGGGTAGCATCATTCGACATCTCCAAAGCTTTTAATTCTGTCAATATCACCAGCCTTAAGAAAGCAATGAATCGCATCAAACTGCCAAACAAATTCACCTCACTTATCACCGATCTCTTAAATGAAAGAGAACTGAAAATAATAACCTATTATGAACTTACCAAACCCCTAAAAGTAAGCAAAGGGATCGACCAAGGGGAACCCCTAGCTCCATTACTTTGGACCATCTTTTATGACACTGTAGTAACCAAAATATCAACTGAATACTCTTCAACCTTCAAAATACTTGCTTACGTGGATGATGTTACCTTAGCAAGCTCTAATATGCAAGTCCTCCAAGAAGTAACAAACATCTAATTCCTTATAGTTGAAGAGGAAAAAATCTACCCTAGACCATATAAGGAGGGCATCAGATACCTTGGAATTTATCTCTCGGGCAAATCTTCATCTTGTTCTACAAAAAATAAGCTATTAGAAAAAATCCAAAAGTTCACCAATACAATTTCATCGCAAAAAGGATGGAATGGCTTAATAACTAGACAAGCTTCTCATTGAATTATATCATCACAATTAGAATATGCCATCAATGCTACAGTTCCATCAGATAACGAAATGGACATCCTTCAAAAGAAAATGAATAAACCAATTAAAGCAAAATTAGGTGTCAAGCGTATTATTTCCAATAAAATTTTATACTCACCAGCAAGTCTCAATATTGTCAAACTTCCAAACTGTCGTGATCTCACTACCATTAAAATTTTGACAGTCAAACTCACCAATCCAAAAATCTTTCCCGTCATCTCAAGAGAAATCATATCAATACAAGCCACCCAAGCAATCTGGTGCTGCCCAATCTGTTTCTCTTATTACTTTACTGACTCATGGATAATATCAGTAGTCCTATTAGTTAAGAGATATAACATCAGAATCTGTCCACTCCCCTACCCGTTTAATCATACTAACCATGAGAACTCAATTGGCTTAAACACCAAACTTACAAAAGCAACTGCTCTTTCACTATATTACTCTAATATTAAAACCATTCAGAACACATACATATACAAAAGAAACACTAAACTAACTTGAGAAGAATTACATACACACAGAGGATGAATAATACTTGGCCCTATCCCCAATTGGTTCTCTACTATCCCAAATACCTCTGTAACTATCTGCAGTAATACAACATTCCTCCCAAACAAAACAAAAATTAAATTGGGCTTTTTATGATAATAACTATATCAATCTTATCAAAGTACGCATCAACGCTTTTCCCTCCACAATTATTAAAGGTATTTATTATCAACTTAGCAATAAAAAAATAATCTTATGTTCATGCCCAGTCCAACCTTGTATCAAGGAAAAAAATATTCAGGATCTCAAATCTGTCTGGCATACTACACGGGCAAACTCAAAATATTTACTCAACAACATTCAAGAACTTTTAGATTCTTTCTCATATGCAACGCAACCAATCCCTCAAATAATAATCACACCACTTCTCACAACCACGCAACCTTCTACCATATATCTATATTACAACTTAAGCAGTAACAACTTATCAGTTATACAACCTGATCTCACTTATATATATACATTACACCTCAACTTCTGGGCCATTTTTTGGTCAGTTTTTTACCAAACTCTTACTGACATCTCAAAGTTATCAACGATAAATATATATTTACATACAATCCCCAACACAAACATCCTCAAGTATATTAATAGACAAATCAAAGTCTCCTTTGGTAGAATTATTAATGAATGTAATATTATCATAGCAGTGAAAAATCTTACCATTCTGTGGCACAAACTGAGAGACTAACAACCACCTTCCGACACCTTTCCCATAATTAACACCTCAATTCTCTATTACTTTCCCTCAACATTCTCAACCTCGCCATTAATTAACAATACACATGCAACTAGCATAATAGATTGGATCAAATTTATAAACTATTATACCAACTTGTTTGACATATTCCTTAGCAAGTCAGCTACCTATAAACCCTCATTCTTCGCAAATCTGGAAATCATCATTAAAGCTAATAATAAACTTAGAAACATTGATCAATTTAAATACAGAGCTCTATCCAACTTCAAGTCCAAACTCTTGGCCAACCAACTTCCAACTAGAGTCAAGCTTCTAAGCAAAACCCAGATCATTATCCTAACAACATCTGCCCTAGGTGTAATGCAGCCCCAGAGGATTTACCACATATCTTTTCTTGCTCTTACAACAAATCTCTACTTACTAAAAAGAAAACAAAAATTGAAAATCTTATTCTAGATCTCAATCCAAAACATGTAAAATCCACTAATTTTATTAACACCTTCATATTAACAGAAAATACTTTGCTTAACTTAGCCACTTGCAAATTCAATCCCCCATTTGATCTTCTCCAAAAAAAAGACACTATTTCCAATTATATACAGTACTTAAAGTTCTCTACAAGGCCTGAAAACAGCGCTTCGCTACAGCGACAACTTCACTAGCCACTGGAATTAAGTGAAAAAAAACATGCAGCCCTAAATCTCTAAATTCAAGCACAAACAACATTACTACATTCAACACTATTATAACCTTGTTAAGTAACTCACACAATTATATCCATAAATCAATTTTTACTCCAGCAATAGTATCATCATTTTGAATAGGCATTGGTCATTCAACACTATTGATATGAGTCCACCTTTGAGGTGTTAACTGGTATCAATAGATTTGTTGCGATAGGCTACAATTAATTTACGATTGTAAAGATTGTTAATGTAATGATAGTAAATACTCTTATTTAAATAAATTCTCATATTTAATGCTTATTCACAATAAAAAAAAAATATATTTATATAATTAATTTACTAAATTGTTTATTTTTTGTTTAATTATAATAAGTTATACTTACTTTTTACTTGGAAAATAAATCTAAATATTGTCGTAGGCTATTCTGGTGATTCCGTCGCTAATCCGTAGTGTCTTGCATAATTCAGACTTCTCAAGAATACTCACAAACATCACAAAGAAAAGAATGCCTCCTATAAAGAACACAGGAAAGGTAGAGGCATAGTGATTGACTTGGCCAAAGGTAAGTGTCTCTTTATTGTGTTCTGTTTCTTTAGTATATCACTAACTCTTATCTCTATTCTCAATGAGAACTGTTTTTCCTAATACATTCAGCTCTGCCTTTTCGGCATGCATTGGTAAGCTATTTATACTTTTCTATTTAACAATGGCTATCTACTTTATAATCGGCTATAATAACTCTAAGCTTTGCTAAACTTTCTATACTTTTCAATTATACATAGTTTCCTTATTAGTACCTGAGCCTTATTTATAGTTTCTTACCTTGTGACACTCAATCTTTCATGCCAGACTTTCAGGTTTTTGAATTCTAGACCATTACATGTAAATTGCGTCATCCATGTGACCCATAAAAATATATATAATTAGATTCTAAATAATTGTTAAGTATAAATCACAATATAAGAAGAAATCTGAATTATAATATCAAAAAATTGATCCTATTTATTATAGATAATAATTATTAATGAGAATATAAGCAAATAAAAACCAATTATATATTAACTAGTATTGTATTAAAACAATACAACAAGATTTATCAAGAGTCTGCAAATAAAATGGATTAATTTTATCATAATAACAATGAAGATTAATAACAAATCCAATAAAAAGTAAAATCAAAAAGAAAGCTCAATAATTCATCTAAATAAACAAGATGAGACAATATATATCTATATATGACCATAAGCTTAGCTGAAGTACTAGAGAGCACTTCAAAAAAGAAATAGTACAAGGTAAAAAATTGGTCTAAACAGTGAACAATAAAGATAATAATGAGAAAGTTTATTTCAAAACAATATATGTCCAACTTTATTCAAGACAGTTGGGTTAAACTGATATAGAAGTAATATTAAAACCAATTGGGATACAACATATAAAGAAGAAGTAGAAACAGAAAGTAATTCTAAAAAAAAAAGATCTAGAAAAAAAATAAAAAATAAAATAAATTCCAAAGCAGCAAACATATTACTGGAACAACAAAAACTCCCAAACACTTTGTTACTAGTAGTAATGGGAATCAATTAATTCTTGTAATAAAATAAGTTTATATGATAGGTTTGAAAGTCCTTATACTAAGAGTAAAAGTGATCAAAATC